CGGGTTGTTAGGGGAGCTTGGCCCTGGGTTTGATCCCCAGCACCACAAACCACAAGTATTAAATTTCATGGTTCTGTGAGTGGTTTGGGCTACTCTGGTCTAGGCTGCTTTGGCCAGGCCTGGTTAGATTTAGATGGAATTATGATCTGAATATTTGTGTCTCCCCCAAAACTCAGATATTGAAATTCTAACTCCCAAGGTGATGGTATCAGAAGGGGAGCCTTGGGGAGGGGATTAGATCACGAGGGCAGATTCCTCCTAAATGGGTTAATGCCCTCATACCACTGCCTTGAGCCTTCCACCACGTGAGAAAGCAGAGAGAAGATGCCTCTACTAACCAGGAAGCAAGGCCCCGCCAGACAACGAATCTGATGCCACCTAAATCTTGGACTTTCCAGCTTCCGGAAAGGAGAGAAATAACTTTCTATTCTTTATAAGTCACCTGGTTTGTGGGATTTTGTTATAGCAGCTCAAACTGAGACAGACGGCCTCATTCACATTACAGTGATGGCCGCAGTCCAAGGTTTCTCCATGGAAACCGCACGGTCTCCCGTCCCGCAGGAGGCCATCCAAGCCCCACTCGCCCACTGTTGCAAGGGTGCCTGCAGCAAGAGGGTGAGACAGAAGCTGCAAGTCCTCCAGGCCTCGGCTCGGAACTCAGGTAACATCACTTGTGCTACATTCTCTGGGCCAAAGGAAGTTATGAGACCCACTCAGATTCAAGAGAAGAAGAGAAATAGACTCCATCTCTTGTTGGCAGGAGCTGCACATTGACGCCTTCAGGAGTCACAAGAAAAAAACAAGGAGTTTGAGAATATATGGAGTTGGGAGAGACTGTGAAAAACCAGATCTTTGCCCAGGGTGTGGGTGCAAGTTTACATTGGTACAACCCTACGGAAGGTAACTTTGCAATCGCTCTCAAAATTATAAACATCGAAAACCTGTCTGGATGGAGCAAGACCACTTACCACTTTTGGGAATCTGGCACGTTTGCAAAATGAGACGGACACAAAGTTCTTTGCAGCATAGTTTGGGATATCAAATGGTGGGAGGATGCCTGCCTAACCCTGCAACGTGTGGGCACCCAGCAGAAAAAAGAGAGAGGACATGCCTTATGTAACTCAGGTTACATGACTGTCAAGTGTGAAAATCTCGGGTCAGAATAGTAGGTCGAGAACATTGCAGCGTAGAAATGCAGGAAATGTGCCCATACTTGCTTAAAATGTGTATGCATTAAGTAACTTGATGCCTGACGTCCCCTTACCTCCAGTTCCAAACGAAGGACAGGGAAACGTCCCTGCATGCCTGCCCTTCACTCTTTACCCCACAAGCCTTTGTTTGTACAGTGACTCCTTATCCCCAGCCTGATAACCTCTGGGGAGACTGGCTTCTAATCACGAAGCTCTGGGAGCTGCCCTGACTCCCTCTCCCTTCTGCCCACCTTTCCTGAATCAAGGGGTCTGGATTGTCCAGGAGGGAAGTGAATGAACCCAATCCCCAGACTTCTTCCTGCTTCAGTAGCCATTCAAGAGAAGCCAGCGCCTGCCAGGATTCTGTCTTTCCTCCTCCGGGTTGGCACCTTTCCAAAGCAAGCTCTTCAAATGTACACACTGATGGAGGGACCCTACCCGGCGTCTGGAAGCCCCAGAGGCTGCGGGTGACCTTGGACTTGTCCTTTCTCTTGCTTGGGATCTCTCCTCTGAGCCAAGGGGAGCGGCGACCTCAGCCTGCCTCTTTCACCAGTCAAATTTATGTTGCTCAATTATCAATGACGACAGTGACAGCCACAGCTAGTGCCTGCTTCCTAAGTGCTCTGTATGCATCAACTCGTTGACTCCTGGTAGTAACCCCTTGATGTAGGTCCTTGGAGTCACCCCATTTTACACGCGAGGGAACTCCAGGCTCCAAATGCCTTGCCCAAGGCCACGCAGCTCAGAGGCAGCAGTGGCAGAACTGGAATGTCAACCCGGCTGCCTGGTTCCAAAGCATTCTTTCCCCTCTAGAAGCACCTTGAAGCCGGGACTTGGCTGCTGTTGAGTTCACACAGCGCTGAGCCACTGGGGAGCCTTCGCTGCGATCACTCCCGCCCCGCCCCGCCCCGCAGCCTGCGGCTAAACCCGTTCAGCAGATGAACTCACTGAGGCCCAGAAGAGGGGAAGGGACAATCCTAGGGTCACACCTCAGAGAACTCCATCTTCACAGCAGGGCTTTCGGCAGGAGTCCAAGGCTCCAGGAAGGGGTGACTTCTACAGAGATGCCCCGAGTGCCACCACAGTGCCCTCTGTTCATTCCCATTGAACAGATGGACAAATCAAGATGGCCCATCCGTGGGTATGGGCAGGAGGGTGAGAAGGACGTCACCCAGCTAGGGTAGGCCAATCTTGCTCTTGCTCAGTGGATAGAGAGACTGAGGTTCAGATCCTGAGGGTTTGTGTGTTTTATTTGGTACCAGGGATTGAACTCAGGAGCACTTGACCACTGAGCCACCTCCCCAGCCCTATTTTTGTGGTATTTTATTTAGAGACAGGGTCTCACTGAGTTGCTTAGCACCTCGCCATTGCTGAAGCTGGCTTTGAACTCTAGATCTTCCTGCCTCAGCCTCCAGAGTCGCTGGGATTACAGGCGTGTGCCACCAAGCTCAGTTCAAATCCTGAATTTTGTGGACCTGGACAAAGCCCTTGACTGCTCTGTGCCTTTGTTTCTCTGTCTACCAGAGGGGGAGACTCAGTTTAGATATGTCCAGATTTGGCTGGGAAAAATCTGCCGCCTGGAGACCTTGAGAACCCCCATGGCTTCTGGTTCCTCCCAGAAACCCCCTGTTCCACAACTGCAAGGCTGTGGGTCCATGGAGGCTGCTCATATGCCACCCTAGCTATGGGGCAGAATTGCTACTGACAATAACCTGACCTAGCTGACTGACAGCCAGAGATTTTGCGTCTCTCTCCTGGGGTTAATAATAGTGGCTTGTCCAGGTTGAGTGTCTCTTAACTGAAATGCCTGGGACTGGAAGTGTTTCAGACTTCAGATTTTCTGAGATTTTGGATTATTTGCATTCACATAATGAGATGTCTTGGGGATGGGAAGCAACTCCAAACGTGAAATTCATTCGTTGCCGATGTACTTTATACACACAACCGGAAGATAATTATATACAACATTTTAATAATTTCATGCATGAAACAAAGTCTTGTGATGGGGGCATTTTCTACTTATAGCATCATGTCTGTGCTTGGAAAATTTCAGATTTTGGAGCATTTCACATTTTGGGCTTGTGGATTAAGGGATGATCAACTGGTGGTGCTATTGCAAGGACTTAATGAGCTAACATCTGTCTGGAGTCACGAGGCAACCTGTTATTGTTATTTTTTTAGTTGTAGGTGGACACACTACCTTTATTTTATTTATTTTATTTGTCTGTGGTGCTGAGGATGGAACCCAGTGCCTCACACATGCCAGGCAAGTGCTCCACCACTGAGCCCCAGCCCCAGCCCCAGGCAACCTATTATTAATAATAATTATTAAGATAACAGCTCGTCCATATGTCCTTTTGCCTCATGAAATAGCTTGGGGCTCCTGCCATGTGCCTCTCGGGACTCAGTTTCCCCACCTGGGTGTACCCTATACCCCCTCCCTCCTACTAGGTGTCCTAGCAGCCGGGAGGCTGGGTGGGGCCCCTATCTCACTGGGCTATTTGCTTTCCCTCTTCTGGGGCTGCCACCCTGGACAAGGCCCTTGAATAAAAGGCTGGGACACCTGTGTCCTGCTTCCTCCTTTCTGGTCTCAATCATGCTCCGGCTTCTCCCTGCCCTGGTGCTCCTGGGGGCGCTGGCTGCCCCAGAAGGTAAGTATGGTGTGGCCCCTCAGAGTGGGAGACCCGCCCAAGGTCATACAGTTGGTGGGATTTGGCTTTAGAGTCTGAGCCGCAGACCCTTCCACCTAGCCTGGTGGTCAGCCGAGGCAGCTGGTTGAGAAAGAGCGTGGTTCTGGAGGGAGGCTGCCAGGCTCTGCCATTTGATAGCTGTGTGATTCTCAGCCTGCTACCTAACTTCTCTGTGCGTTAGTCTCCCCATGAATGAAAGGAGCTCTTAATGACTCTCTGGAGCAATTATCATTAGTCTTTGACTTTGCCTGCCTGTCTCCCCTTTGGCTCTAATTCTGCCACCTTTGGCTTGAGGTGGGAATTGAGTGGCCTGGATGTCAACCAGGATCCCATTGTGTGATCTTGAATGAGACCCCAAGTCCCTCTGGCCTAGTTCCCTCATCTAGATTAGGAAGGCGTGAGGCAAGGTCAGCAGTTGTCAGAGGGGGCTTTCTTGAGCCTTGAGGTTTCTTTGAAGAATCTCAGAGGCCTCTTGGAAGATCTAGAAGCCTGGGCAGGAGACAGAATCTCCCCTCAGCCTGGCCTCCAGGGGCAAATTCCAACTTTGCCTGCTCAGTTCTGGGTTTGTGAGCAGGATGGGTGGCAGAATGTCCAGTGGGCATGACCGGTGGGTGAGACAGGAACGGGCAGCAGCTGTGGCCTGGAGTCCTCTGGGTCCCACCCCCACACCTTGGCCGTACTGTGTCACCCTCTGGAATGGTATTCCCAGTGCTCTAGGAGAATAGCCTTCCTCCCTCCCTCCCTCCCTCCTTTCTTTCTGTCTTTCTTGTACTGGAATTGAACCCAGGGGCATTTATCACTGAGGGCCATCCCCAGTCCTTTTTATTTTTCGTTTTTGAGACAGGGTCTCACTAAGTGGCTTAGGGCCTCGCTAAATACTGAGGCTGGCCTCAAACTTGTGATCCTTCTGCCTCAGCCTCCCTAGTATCTAGGATTACAGAGTGTACCACTGTTCCTGGAGGAAAATGTTTCTTTATCTTTTCTCAACAGCCCTCCAGCCATGGCAACCCCCAATCGTATTCCTGAATCCTGGTGTGTGTGTGTGTGTGTGTGTGTGTGTGTGTGTTTCTTTCTCCTCTCTCCTAAACCACAGGGTTTGATGGCTCCTCTCTCCCCACAGGGGCTTCCAAGACGTGTCCAGCCTGCTCTTCGCTGCGAAATTGCACGGATATTGCTTGTCCTTCTGCCCAGGACTCCTGCTTGTTTAGCCAGATACATCTGGGTGGGGGACTGGCTGGGGTGGGCGGAGAGGGTGGACAAAGGAAATGGACAGGGGTGGGAGGGGACAGGCACGGAGGAGCAGCTGGGGACACCTGGGGCTTGTGTACTTGGTCTCACAGCTCAGCGGGCGCTGCTGGAGCGGGTGTCGGGGTGGGGTGGACTAATGCCATGGGGAGGCCCGACATTGGCCTCCGGGGAGGGCTTCAGGGGAACGGAGGCCCCTGGAGGGCTCGGGAAGGGAGGCCTTTATTCTCCCCTCCTTGGCCTCTGTCCTTAGAAAATGGCACCGTCCTTGAGAGCGGGTCCTGTGTAGCCCCTGGGAGATGCCAAGAAGGTGTCTATGCCCTGACCTACGGTCCCCACTCGGGCCTCTGGATCAGCACCTCGTGCTGTGAAAACTGCAGCTCTCCCCAAAAAGGTTTGTTGGTGGTGGGACCTGGGGGCCACACACCAGCCAGGGTGTCATGGGGACTTGGCCAGGAGTTTCCTGCCCTGGAGCTTTCTGTCTGGTGGATGGGAGCAAGAAGAAGCACCTCAACTTTCTCATCTAGAAAATGGGTACAAAATAAATTTTGTAGGGAGGGATCCCCTTGTTTGGCCCTCAGTGGGCAGTCTGTATGTTGTAGTTACGCTTCTTGAATTATTGGGGGACTGGGGAGAAGCCCAGAACTCTCTTCTCTCCTGAGTCTCTTCTCAGGAATCTCCCTGAAGGCTGGTACAGCAGAATGAGAAGGTTATGGGGTGACATACGGGTCCAGGGTAAGACCAGCCACCTGCCTCGGGCACCAGACTTAAGGCAGAGCTCACCCTGCACTTGCCCACCCCTGACACTGAGCGTCCACTCAAATTTTGTGTCCCTGACATCACAGTAGTCCCAGCGCTGCGTGGTAATCAAGATAATTTTTTGTTGCTTGGTTATTTCTTTAAAGAAAGAATTTGTGTTTGGAAGAGGAACAATGGGAAGCACTCAGGGCTACCCGGCGTCCTTCCAAACAGCCGAGGGGACCCGCTTTCTATGTCGGGCACCTTAACAGAAAAACCATGAGGTCCAAGCTGAGAAGTGGGCCTACTGATCAGGATATAAAAGATCAGTTAGGATTATAACCATATTTAAAAATCCTGTGTGTGATGGTAGATTGAAAGGACCACACCTGGTAATTTTTTTTTTTTTTTGGTGGTACCAGGGATTGAACCCAAGGGGCTTAACCACTGAGCAACACCCCCACCCCTTTTTATATTTTATTTATAAAAATATTGTCCAATAGAAATGTAACATGAGCCATCTCTGTAATTAAAACTTCTCTAGTAGCTGCATTAAAAATTTTTTTGGGTGGCACATGCCTATAATCCCAGTGACTCTAGGGAAGCAGGAGCATTGCAAGTTCAAGGCTAGCCTCAGCAACTTAGCAAAACCCTGTGTCAAAATAAAAAATAAAAATAAAAAGGACTAGTGACTAACTCAGTGGTAAAGTGCCCCTGGATTCAACCCCCAGAACCCACGCCAGGAATAAATAAACAAACAAATAAAAATAGAAACAGCTCTATAATAATGTTTTCTTAAGTCAACTTATTCAAGATGGGCCTCTATTAAGATGATTTTTAATTTTTTTTGTAGTTATAGATGAACAGAATGCCTTTATTTTATTTGTCTATTTATATGTGGTGCTGAGGATCGAACCCAGGGCCTCACACGTGCCAGGCAGGCGCTCTACCGCTGAGCTACAGCCCCAGCCCTTTTTTTTTGAGAAAAAGCAAAAAGAAGTTTTATTGATTTGCTAGCAAATGAGAAGGCAGCAGACTCATGTGTCAGGGGAGCAGAAGGCTTTTAAATGAGATACAAAGGCTAAATTCCAGATGTGCATATCAGCAGTCATAATTCATAACCAAATTGTAGCCTGGAGAGATAGCTATTTCTTAGACTGCTGGTACCAGCTCCCGAGTCTGGATTTCTTCATTCCTGTGGTCAGTGAGCCAAAGGAAAGACAGGTAACTTGGCCTAGGATTGGGGGAATGATTTCAGAGGTCTCCATCCATAGAAGGCTGGCTCCATTCCTTGGGGCTCGGGATGAGGAAGACATCATGACGGAGAGTTTGGCAGAGGGAAGCAGCTCACATGATGATCAGGAAGCAGAGAGAGCTTAAGATGATTCTTGGCTGGGTTTTTACTTTACTCATACCTAAATGACTTCCTTTTAAATGTTTCCGATCTCTAAGGAAGCATTCAAAATTAATCAGATGGCGGTGAACCTGGAAGGCAGAGTTGTACTCTTTTGCAGAATACCACAACATCTTGAGCCCGAAATAACAGGATCACTTTTGTAATCAATTTTGAAATTCAAGATCCCTAAGAAAGGGCTCTCATCTGTTGTCATTGCTGTGTCTCCAGGGCCTAGAAGAGTGCTGGGTACACAGTTGGTGCTCAAGAAGTGTTTGTGGAATGAATGAAAGAAACTTTAGGATCCAACTGGAAGGTTTTTTTTTAGAACAAATGAGCAGAATTGGGCTGCTGTTAGTGGCTCCCTAGAATAAATCTTTGGGGATTGGAAGGAGGCATCTGAGACCAGATTGGTCCCATTTTGGCAGAAAGTGATCTGGATTGTTCCTCGAGGGCAGTGAGGGTGGGGCGTGAAGACACATAGAGGGGGGAGATAGAATAGAGGGCTGGTGGAGGAAGGAGGGCTGGGAGGAGGGTTCCCTCATCTTCATCCCACTCTGAATATACCTACTTCCACCAGAGGCAGAGCCCAAGGCCCAGCCCAACGCAGTGAAGTGTCCTTACTGTTCTGGGGAAAATTTCACCTCATGTGACTCCATTTCGATCATGAACTGCACCGGGAACCAGACTGTGTGCGTCACTCTCAACGGGACATGGAACAGAGGTAAGGGCTCCCTTTGGGAGGTCATTTGCCTGGCAGACTCCCCTCCTACCTGCACAAATAAGTGTTGAGGTTCATTTGCATACATGTTTGCATTATTTCTTGTTATTGAAGAAAACACCTGCAAACTCTGAGGCTTCACCTGACCATCTTTTATGCTTTCTATGGATTGGGAATTCAGGAAGAGCTCAGCTGGACAGTTCTGGGTCTCTCATGTGTTTAGACTCAGAAGGTGGCTAGAGCTGGAATCAAGAGCAGGGCCAACCTGGGCGCAGTGGTGCATACCTTTAATTCCAGCAGCACAGGAGGCTGAGACAGGAGGATCCCAAATTCAAAGCCAGCCTCAGCAAAAGTAAGGCATTACGCAACTCAGTGAGACCCTGTCTCTGAATAAAATACAAAAAAAGGGCTGGGGATGTGGCTCAGTAGCTGAGTACCTGAGTTCAATCCCTGGTACCTCCACACCCCTGATAAAAGAGCAGGGCCAAGAGCAGCAGGGCGCTGGCTGAACATCTCTCACACACAGAGTCCCTGGGCCTTTCCATGTGATCTGTCCACATTGGTTAGCTTGAGCTTCCCTCACATCATGGCTGTCTGAGGGTCCTTGATGTGGTAGGTTGAAGACTTCATTCAGCAAATGAGGTGGCAGCCTCCAGAACTTTTATGACCTAGCCTTGGAAGTCACATAAAGTTACTTCTACCATAGTTTATTGATTGAAATGGTCACGAAATTTCATCTAGTTTCGTGGTGGGAGGTGTAGATAAGCACAGATGCCACCGGTTAATGTGTCAGAGAATTTGAAGATGCATCTTATTTTATTTTTGAAGTACTGAGGATTGAGCTCAGGGGCACTCTGCCACCAAACTACACCCCCAGTCCTTTTTTATTTTTATTTCAAGACAGGATCTCACTAAGTTGCCAAGGCTGGCCTCAAGCTTGTGATCATCCTGCTTTAGCCTCCGAAGTTGCTGGGATTTTACAGGCATCCACCATTGTACCAGCTGAAGATGCATTTTAAAATTACTAATGTAGGTTTGCAAAACGTTGAGGCAGAGGCTTTTTCATCAAAAGCCTTAGGATAGAACCATCCTGCTCAGAACATAGACTAACTCTGAAGCCAATAAAGGGACAGAGAGAAGTGGCCTAGACTTCTGCCCCTGGCGGTAAGGTAGACTAGATATCCAAAGTGTCTCCCTGCTCTAAACAGTGGCATGCTGGGAAGGAGTTGGGGAGAGGGACCCACTCTGGCAGGGAGGAATATTTTATCACCGACATTGTTTGAAATTGTTGGTGCATGGTGATAATAAAAAGCAGATTTACTTTTAGTTGATTTTTTTTTAATGCTCTACAGACATACACTCCCTTATAGCCTGCTCCCAATGACAGGCTGCTGCCACTAGCCACCCTTGCCTCCTAGTATGTCACCATTTACAGATAAGCTAGATCTTGTACAAAAAATATGTATTTTTCATGCCATTTGGAGTTTCAGGAAGCTAGGGAAATTTCCAAGGGTCCCTAAACAAAACAAAAATGTGAGCAGAAGTCAGAATGAGAGCAGTGAGAGAATGTGAAAGTCACAATGGCCCTGAGAACAGATGCTGATAATGGCCCGCTGTGGGTAAATAGGTCTTAGCACAGCAGATTGGTCAGGGAGCTGACCCTTGTGTTCCCACATAAGATAGGACCTTCGAAAGAGGCTGAAAAGACCACAGGTTGGTAACATCACCTGGTCTGTATAGAAACAAAGGCAAAGCCTCCCAGAGGAAAACCTCCAAGGATTCCCATAGATCAACATCAACCAAACGTGAGCTCACCATCAGAGCTCCTGAAACACAAGGAAGTAAGTCACCATGAGGAATAGCAGAAACAACGAATCACAGATGTGGACCCACGAGGAGCTCAGCTATCATAATTATCAGCGCAGAACGTAATACACCTCTGTGTGAGAGACCTGAAGGCATGAGTTTGAATCACAAAAAAGAGCAGCAAGAAGAGGCTGTAAAAAAAAAATATGGCAAATAGCACAGGGTTTGATCCCTAGCACCACATAAAAACAAATAAATAAAATAAAATGTTTTTTAAAATGGCAACATAGATTTGAATATGAATCATACAGAACTACTGAGAGGCTGCCAAGAGATGGGAACTTGCTGACAGAAAGAGACACACATGAGGTGGAGTCTTTGACTCTTGAGTCTCGCCCCTCAACTTCCCCTTATTTCTGCAGGAGGTCCCCAAATCCTGAAAGGCTGTGCTACACCAGAGATCTGCCACCTGAAAGTGAATGACACTCTGGGCCCGGAGGAGGCTGGATTTCATCTCACCACAAAGCCTGATTGCAGTTCCCTGGCTCCTCCCACACAACCAGGTGCTTTGAGCCCTGCCTTCCGGGAACCCCACCCTGTCAGTCCTCCCCAAGCCCCACATTCTCTTCCCAACCCTAAATGTTCATTCCCTCAGGGTACAATGTCCCCGACTCTAATGCTCCCAAGGAGTACAGTTATCCATATGCACACACAAACAGCACCCCACACACCCAGAAGCAGAAATCCATGGGTACATCCACAGACACGCACAATTCTACCTCAGCACCCACCACACATCGAAAGAGGTGCATGAACTTCAACGTGAACATCCTGTGACGTGTAGAGATCTGAACTCCGTTTAAGGAACAAATATGATGTTCTTTTTATTTCTTCACTTCCTTGTTTGTGAAAGAAGACAGATTTGTCAATCGTCTTCTTTTGGATTACCAAAGAACATTCACAATCATTTTCTGTCTTCCGGAAAAGAGAGATGCTAATTGGAATAGTATTTACTGGGGTGACAGTATATGAAGCGATTCGTTTGAACAGCATCATGGACTTTTTAGAGGTCCATAATGAAAGGCAAATTCCCCTGGACAGAGCAGCGTTCTCTCGGTTCTAGGGACGTAGAAGATGCCTTTGTTGGCAACTGCGCAGCCAGGATCGTTCTGCGAGGCAGAGAAAGATCTGCTCCCTTACCCTGCAAGCAGAGCAGGAGCATCCTCACCTCAGCTTCCTCAAATTCCCAGCTCCCAACAGTTTCACTTTCCCAAACTAAGCAGTGGATCAAATGAATTATCACAATGAAGGGGGGAAAAAGGCAGACTTGGGAGCTTCAAATTTACAACACACAAAGAAAAAGGGTCAAAAATGATTGCCAGCTACAGGAACTTGGGTCATGTAAATTTTGCCTACATGATCTCTAGGTATAGAGACAAAACACACCCATGCATGGACATGTGGATCCTCAGATCCATGTTCAGGGACCGTGAAAGACAGGTACAAACATACACAAGCATACACAGAAGTACCCACTGTCCGCAGGCACACTGACGCACACTACTGACATCTGTGAACACTCACAGCTGTACCCTGACACATCCGAGTACCCCAAACCTCACTGGAAACAGACACAGCCGGACCCAGCAGCACTCATAGACCCACAAAACCAGCCTTAAACACACACATAGACACATAGATCCACTCATACCCATATGCACACAGACACTTGTGCAGGGGCAGGGGGCACAGGGGCACACACAACACCATCGCCCCAGCCCCCAACCAGTTTCGGACACACACAGACAATTCAACACAGGCATGTACAGCCAGATGTGCACCCAGGAAACAGCCCCCACGAACAGCATCACAGCAAATGTGCACACACAAAAGCACTTTTGCACTCTAAGGGCACATACAGATGTGCCCAGAAATTTTTGCAAGTACACATGTACAAGCTCGCTCTCACATGCACACACACACAAAGATTTTCTTTCTCTCCTCAGGTCCCCATGCAAATGTGACCCATACCAAGGCAAAGGCCACCATCTGTTTCACCTGCTCAGACCTCTACCATTGCAACCCTGTCTCCTGCCCGGAGGACAGGAACTATTGCCTTCAGACAGCAGGAATCACAGGTGAGTGCCAACGGGAGCAGAAACAGGCCCTGAGGCACAGCAAGACTTCTTGCCTTTCCATGTCTGCGGCCTCCACTTTTTATGGCCATGCAGGACAGAGGCTCGGGGAAGCAGAAGGTGTGAGGTGCAAATCCAATGACATTTTGTTGAGCTCTTGCTAAGTAGCCATCCCCTTGAGAGGCTGAGGCAGGAGGATCACAAGTTTAAGGCCAGCCCTAAGCAACTTAGTGAGACTCTGTCTCAAAATAAAAAGCAAAAAGTTCTGAGGATGTGGCTCAGTGGTAAAGTGCCTCTGAGTTCAATCTCCAATGCAAAAAAAAAAAAAAAAGGCTCAACCAGTCAAAAGAGGTCAAATATTATTCAAATTTATTATATATGACAGCAGAATGCATTTCAATTCACAGTACAATAGAGCACAATTTTTCAGTCTCTGGTTGTACACAAAGTAGTACACACTTTTCGAGTCTTCATACATGTACTTGGGGTAATGATGTCAATCTCATTCCACCATCTTTAGGGTTTCAGTTTAAAAAAAAAGTCTAGAGATCTGTTACACAATAATGTAAGTATAGTTAACCATTGAACAGTATACTTAAAATGGTTAAGAAAGCAGATTTCATATGATTTTTAACCACAATTTTGTAATTTAAAACAATGGCTTAGCTGGGTGTGGTGGTGCATGCCTGTAATCCCAGCTGCTCGGGAGGCTGAGGTGGGAGGATCATGAGTTCCAAACCAGCCTCAATAACTTAGCGAGACCCTGTCTCTAAATAAAGTATTAAAAAAGGGCTGGGGATATGGCTCGGTGGTTAAGCACCCCTGAGTTCAATCCCCAGTACAAAAAAACAACAATAAAAAAACCCAAAACAAAAACAAAAACAACACCAACTTAAATAAAATAATGCTTTGTTATTTCTCATGATTCGACCATCTTGGGCTCAAATGGGCAGGTCTTCCACTCCAGGGGATGAAAGCTGAGGTCACTTATATGGTGGATTCAGCTGGAACTTGACCGGTACTGGAGGCCCCTCATCCCCCAGGGCCTCTGTCTGTGGGGGCTCTTGGCAGCTGCACCTCAGCCTCAGCTTCCTGAGAAGAAAACAGGGGACTTCAGGCCTCTCGGGAGACAGGCCCAGGCCTGGCACAGCCTGTTGACCAGAGCAAGTCGCAGATTGAAAGGGTGAGGAAGCAGATCCTCCTCTCGCTGAGGGAGGAGATTCGGTGGTGGCCATCTTGGTATCTACAATGTTCTGGGCAGCGAGCCCCCTGAGAGCCCTGTCCCTCTGCTCCAATAAAGGGGGGAAAACTGGTCTTTCCTGTAAATGGGAAGAGGAATTGAACTTGCAGCCAGCTCTCTGTGGTCTTCCAGCAGCATGAATAGTGTACAGGCCCCGGTACTGGGCACTTCTGGAATCCCAGCGAACTGAGTACCAAGCCTGTGAGGTGCCCACAGGCAGATGGGGGAGACTCACAGAGGCCCCCTGTTGATTGGGACCCTTAGGGAGAAGGCGGAGTGTCAAGGAAGGTTTTCTGAGATGTGTCTTCAGGAGCAATGACCACACTGGATGTATTGTGGGGGCTCAGGCAGGGCGAATGACAATGGTGTGACATTCAAAGGGACTTGGGGGAATTCCATTAGGGGGTGGCTGGTGGCTGCCTTTTCTCATGAGTCTGCCCTCCGCCTCTCTCCAGCGTTTGGGGAAGGAGACTCAGTTGCCTGGAGAAATGGTTCCTGTGTGGCCTCTAAGGATTGTAAATGGGACAGATCCGTCTCTGCCTTGACCTACGGTGCTCGCTTGGGCTTCTGGGTCAACACCACCTGTTGCCAAGGCAACTGCCAGAAGCCCACTCCTCTCGGTACGCTGCCACCAGAAAGCAGTCAGATAGGCTGCCAAGGAAGTGGTGGGTGACTTTGGAGGGGGACTTGGCCTCCATTGAGGAAGGTAGGTGGGCAAGAACATCAACCCCCATCCCCCAACAGGTTCCCTAAGTCACCTGACTCCAGCTCATCGGGAATCTCATTAAGGTCATTCCCCTGTGGTAGAGTGTATTGAGTGCACCAGGGCCCTGGGAGGCTCTGAGAGTTCTCTTGGCTGACCGTCTACTTCCCCTATACAGCAGCTCTGCCGGCCTCCCGCCCCTTGAACAAGTTCCTGTGCCCTACATGTGCAGGGGACCACCAGGGACCCTGCAATTCGTCCCTCTACATGCAGTGTCCCCTTTGGATGACCGAGTGTGTCCAGCTGAACCTGATATCTGAAGGAGGTAATGAGATGTGCATGTGTGTGTGTGTGTGTGTGTATGTTCACACACAGGTGAGTTGAGCATGCTGGTTTTCGATGAAGACAGGCCAGCATTTGGGTTTTCTCACCTCCACCATTTACTGTGTGGCCTGTGGCAAGCAACTTCAACTTTACCAGCTTCAGTTTCTCTTCCAGTCAATGGAGATGGTAGCTGCACACTTTCCCCCTGAGGGTTTGTAAGATCTGAGTGAGCTGTTGAGGGAAGCAATAGAGTAGATAGCACAAGAGCAGGACTCTGGGGCCCAGGCCACCTGGGTTCAAATCCTTGATCCACCACTTTCAAGCTGGGTGATCTCAGGCAGGTGGTTTAGCCTCTCTGTGCTTCCATTTTCCTGTTCAAAAAAGGAGGCAATAAAAGTCTCTAAGACATAATACTGTTGCAAAGAAAATCAGATAATCTGTTAAACTCCTACAGGAGTGCTATCCAAAAGCTATATAATGTGAGTCACATGTATAATTTAAAATTTTCTAGTAGCCTCATTAAACAATTAACAAGTAGCAGGGGAAATTAACTTAATAACATTTGGTTTAACCCAACGTATCCAGCTATTATCATTCCCACACGCAATCAATGTAAGAGATTGTGAGCGAAATATCTTGCATTCGATTTTTCTAAGTCTTTGAAATTGGGTGTTTATTTTATACTCACAACACATGTCAATTCAGACTGTCTACATCTCAGGTGTTCAATAGCCACATGTGGCTAGTGATTATCATATCGAACAGCGTCACTCTAGAATACAGGAAGTGCTGTAAATGGGGCTGCAGTAAACCTAGGGGATATCGCTGGGAAAACAGGAAGAAATGAACACGGGGGTGCGTCTTAGAAGGGGTCATGACAGGCGTGTGTATGAGACTTGTGGGCCACACAGGCCTTCCCTCCATCATTGAGAAGTGTGTGTGTGTGTTTCTGGGGCGGGGTATCCATGGATGGGGTTGGCAGGTGCTTTTGTGTTATGTGTGGGGCATCGGGGGATGGGAGCCATATGTGATTGAGTATGTGTATGTGTGCATGTGTGTGCATGGGTGCACATGTGGGGGTGAGTGTGCAAGAGAATGGGTTTGGAACAGTGATTCACAAATGGCCCTGTGAATGTACAAAGTAGTTCATCCAAAATGAGACAAATAGGGACCACACTGAGGCTTATGGTTCTTTTTAACTTTTTGGGGGGATTGAACCCAGGGTCACTTAACACTGAGCCACACCCCAGCCCTTTCTATTTTTTAGTTTGAGGCAGGGTCTCCCTAAGTTGCTGAGACTGGCCTCAAACTAGTGATCCTCCTGCCTCAGCCTCCTGAGCCACTGGGATTACAGGCATGCACCACCGCACCCAGCTCTTTTTAACATTTTTTTTCTTTTTTTAGTTATGGAGAAGTTGGTCAAAGATAAATAAAAATGGGAATAGTTTAATAAATCCCCATTATACCTTTACCCCACTCTGCTATTGCCACCTGATGGCCTCATATTATTTTGAAGCAAATTCAGATATTGTATCACTTTCTCTGTACAAATTTCCATCTCTCTCTATATATAAAAGATAAGGACTTTAAAATAAACTGTAGTTGTGAGGGTTTTTTAATTGGAACAATGAGACCCTTTTACCTGCACATCCCCCATCAAGTCCTCCATAAACTGGTCATTTGCATATTTATACTTATACATATATCTACCACTTCAACACCTCTGAAGAATCATAGGAAAAAATTGCAAATGTGTGAAATCAAGCAGCATTCGGGGTCGCGGTGTTTGTGAGTATTGAACCTTAAGGGAAAGCATAGCTACAAGGTAAAAAGGATAGTTAAGAGGGGCAGCCCTGACCAGCCCCAGGTCAAGGGACCAAAGGAGCCCGGTAGGTCTCACCAAGGACAAGGACTCGAAGGCCCCATAGACACCCATCTGGTGCCAGCTGGGCGTGTGCAAGGTGTGTGTGCAGGTGTGACCCTCCGCCCGCGCGTGCGCGTGGCCCCACCACGTCTCTCCTAACACCTGTCTCCACAGGCGGCCGAAACCTGAGCTTGCGTGGCTGTGGCTCTCGAAACCTGTGCAGCGCCCGGGGGGTGACAGAGAGAGTGGCTCTGCAGGGCCTGCGGCTGGCCCGCCCGCCGTACTGCAGCTCGGGCCGCCGCGCCGTCCTGGAGTCCCAGTGCCTCTTGGGCGCTGCCGCTGGACTCCGCCTTGCCCTGCCCGTGCTGGTGGTGGCCCTGGGGACCTCGGTGCTGGCCTGAGGAGTCAGGCCTGGACCCCCCTTCTCCTCCTGCCTACTCGTTCCGCATCTCACTGGATGAGGCCCTGGATCCCCTCTTTGGGACACTTCTGGGGCCTGGAAGCTTCTACTGAGAAAGTCAGGGACCAGGGACAGGTTCCTGTCCTAGGCCAAGTGCTTCCCCTAGGGAAGTCCTCTTTCCTGGTCCCAGGAACCCCTAAAAGGCCATCCAGCTGCCTCCGAGGCCAGGCCACTGCTGGACTAGGGCCAGACCTCCTTGGCAGACAAGGGTCTTCCTGGGGACAACCTCCCCTCCCCCTCCAGACTAGGGTCGTTCTTCCCCTGACTACAAAGGCCACCTTCTCTTTGAGACCATGGGCCCCAAAGACTAGGCCGCTTTCTTCAACGGAGGGATCCTGGACACCAAGCCACTCCCTCAATTGGGTCCGCGTCTGTGTTCTCCAACATGAAGGAGCAAATCCTTCTTCTGCCTCCCTCTGAAAGGTCTAGCAAAGTCCCGTGCAGCCAAGGTGGGCCTTGAGGGCCCCAGACACCCACTTCCCAAGGCTTTTGGAGCGACCCGTTTCTTTCCTCTGGGCCGCGATGGGCAGGAGGCTTCCGTGACAGTCCCCTGCGGCCTGGGCTCAACCTCCCAGCTGTGACCGAATCTGAATGAATCGCATCCCGCAATGCCAAGCTGTCTGGTTTCCTTTTTCTGAAGTAGCAGCCTCAAATAGGACCCTGATAGGGTGGACTTCCTCCCCTGGGGCCTGAGGAGGTCAAGCCCGTCTTCACCAGGGGTTCTGAGACCTAGGGTGGGGGCTGCTAGAGACGGCAGTGTCTGGGGCCAGGGGGGCGTAGAATAAATGCTCAGTCTGGGGGCAGCATCATTTTAGAGCCAGCCATGAAGTCAAAGGACGGAGCAGAGGGGTAAAAATGGGGAACTCACAGTGGGCAGGATGCAGGGAACCTTCTGCTTTCCACTGAAAGTAACAGAAAATCCGACCCGAGGAACTGAAACCATCCATCATTCATCTAACAAATGTTTATTGATCACATACTGCATGTCAAGCACAGTTCTAGACACCAGGGGTACAGAAGAAATTCCCTCCTCTCATGAAGGCTGGTTATAGTGGAGGAGACAGATAACAACCCAAATCCCATAATATGCCAGAGAAGAGAGAGCTGTTGGCAGGAGGAAGGAGAGCTTGGCCAACGATGAGATTTTACATAGGTGGGTTAAGAGATGAGATTTGAATAAAGGCCTGAAGGGGGTGAGGGAGAGGTGGTGCAGCTGTCTGAGTACCTGTGAGGGGGCTTGGAAAGCAGAGGGAAATGGAAATGCAAAGGCCCTGGGGCAGGCACGGTAAGATAGGTAATACTGTGCAACAGGACCCAAAGAACAGAGGGGTGGGGGTATTCAGGTGTCTTTGATTCAGCCCAAGGAGTCATTGAGAACCTTTCTTTTTGCATCTTGGTGGCCAGAGCCACATTCGTACAACCAATATTCAAAGCGGAAAGGGTTGGCTTCCCATTCTGGTCTTCTGCAAAACCCTAGGAGACTTTCCCGCATGCCTCATTGGCCAGCCAGTCTCTGGAAAGTAAAGGACTTATCCTGAGTGACTTCCCCTAATCAGGATTCAGTCCCTGGAGTTGAAAAATGTCCCAGCCTCTCCTAAGGAACAAGGCTGATCCAGAGTCTGAATAAGTTGTGGTTCTATTAGCAAGGAAGGAGCGGGAGAGAGCTACAGGGACCAGCAGAAAGAGAAACCACCCACATTTTTTCTTCCCTCCTCCACCTCCTTCTTCTTCCTCCTTTTCCTCCTCCTTCTCCCCCGCCCCTACCGGGCATTGAACCCTGGGGCACCCAACCACTGAGCCATATGCCCAGCCCTTTTTAATATTTTATTTAAAACAGGGTCTTGCTGAGTTGCTTAGGGCCTCATTAAGTTGCTGAGGCTGGCTTTGAATTCAAGATCCTCCTGCCTCAGCCTCCCAAGTGCTGGGATTACAGGCACCAGCCATCACGCCAGCCTAGGTTTCTTGATAGAAGGAATTTAATAAGGGGAGTTGATTATACTGAGAGAAGAAGTGGTGGAGGGAGGAGGGCTAGAGAGCAAAAAGGGAGAAAGGAGAGGGTGTTCTGATCACTGTGGCTGTGTAATAAGTGACCCCAAAACTTAGTAGCATGGAATTATTCAGGAAAGTGACTCAGGAGTTTGGGGAGTCTTTGTTTCTGCTCCATGAGGTCTGGAGCATTAGCTGGGGTGGTTTGAGGGCAGGGGGCTCGAGCCATCTCCAGGCTCTTATATTCATCATTCTGTTGCCGGCTGTGGCTGAGAAGATGGCTGCAGCTGCAGCTGGAATCCCTGCACGTAGCTCTTTTGTATACTTAGACTTCCTTACGACATGGTGACATGGCTTGTGATAGGAGGGATTCTAACATAGCCAACCCTCCCCTCCAAGATTCCCATCGTAATCCCCTGGACTATGAATATAATGGAATGTAATAGAACATGATGGTATTATGTTACACGGCAAGGGGATTTTTCACGTCATTAAGTTTAGCAATTAGTTGAGTTTGAGTTCAGTAGAAAGCAAGTTATCTAGGTGGACTGCATCTATTCCTGCAAGCCCTTTCAAAGCAGAGTGTGTTCTCTTGGCTGTGGCCAAAGAGGAAGTTAGATGTGAAACATGCAAATGATTTGCTGTGGCATCGCTGGCCTGAAGTTGGAGGGGGTCCTGAGAATGGCCTCTAGGGGCTGAGAGCAACCCTCAGCCAAGCACCAGCAAGACGGTGGGGACCTCAGTCCTGTAAGTGCCAGTAACTGATTCTACTGAAAATCTAAAAGAGCTTGGAACAGAATCCCATTCCCAGAGAAGAACCAGCCTGGCCAACACCTTGATTTTGGCCTTGATAGATCCTAAGTAGAGAATCGATAAGTCCATTGGATTTTTTTTGTGTGTGTTTGTGCCAGGGATGGAATCCAGGGGCACTTTACTGCTGAACTACATTCCTAAGCCCTTTTAATTTCTTATTTTGAGAGAGGGTCTCACTAAATCATTCAGAGCCTTGCTAAATTGCTGAGGCTGGCCTCGAACTTGTGGTCCTCCTGCCTTAGCCTCCTGAGTCACTGGGATTACAGGTGTGAGTCACTATGCCTAGTATTGGACTACTTTTTAAAAAATATTTTTTAGTTGTTGACAGACCTTTATTTTATTTATTTATATGGGTTGCTGAGAATCAAACTTGGTGCCTCACACATGCCAGGCAAATGCTCTATTATTGAGCCCCAGCCCCAGCCCCAGCCCCTGGACTACTTTTGATCTACAAAACTGAGATGATAAATGAGTGCTTTTGTTTTTAAATGTTTTTAATATTTATTTTTTAGTTATATTTGGACACAATACTCCTATTTTATTTATTTATTTTTATGAGTGGCTATAGATCGAACCCAGGGCCTCGAATGTACTAGGTGAGCACTCCACCATTGAGCCACAAACCCAGCCCTTGTTTTTAAATTTTTTAATTGTAGTGAAATATATATAACATAAAATTTGCCATCATAACTACATCTAAAAAGTATTCAGTTCAGTAGTGATACAAATATCTGCATTGTTCCATTACCGATCTCCAGAACTTTCATCTTGCACAACGGAAATTCTGTACCCATTAACAAAACCCCCCATTTCCCACCCCAGCCTTTGAATGTGACTTACTCTAGATCGCACATGTCGGTGGAATCATGCAGGAGTTATTCTTTTGTGACTGGCTTATTTCATTTAGCCTAATGTCCTGAGCTTCATTTATCCTATATTATGTGCCAAGATTTCCTTTCTTCTTAAGGCTGAGTTATGATCCATTAAATGGACACACCGCGGTTAGCTAATGCGGTTCACCTGTTGATGGACCGTGGGTTGCTTCCACCTCTTGGCTACTGTGAATAACGCTGCTCTGAACGCGGATATTCAGAGATCTCGTCAAGACCCTACTCTCTGTTCTTTGGGATGTATACCCAGAAGATGCATGTTGGGTCATGTGTGTTTAATTTGGGGGGGCGGGGGGACATCATACTGTTCTCCAGAAGAGCCAGCAACACAAGGGTTCCGATTTCTCCATATCCTTGACAACACTTGCCATTTTCTGATTTCTTGGCTACCTTGTCTGGAGTAGCCAGCCTGATGGGTGTGCACCTGTGGTAATGTTTTAGTCAGCATTAGATGCAATCGCTGCCTTTATGACCTGGCCTTGGAAGTCATGTAGCATCATTTCTGCCGTATCCTATTTGTCCGGGATCAAGGAAGGGGAGCGAAGAGTGGTAACGTCCTGAAAGAGCATGAAGGACCTAAAATATTGCTATGGTTACTTCTGTAAAGATGCAGTCTGCCGAGGAGGACCTGGAGATCAGCAACTGTGGGAAGTAGCTACGCCCCTAGGGCAGAGGAGCGCAACCAGCTTGTGCTGGGACCCCAGTGGTCGGCTGTGTGGCTAGGGTTGAGACCACAGAGGAGGCCCCTCAGCCGGTTCCACAGATGCTGACAGAAGCAGCGGTGTGGAAAGCACATCTCACCATTTTTTACCTTTGGAGGGGGAGTGTCTCCTCAGGTGTCATGAGAGCCTGGGAAATGTAGTTTTCTGACTTCTAGCCCCAGAATTACAGGGCAGAGAAGAGTCCCTTCCTCTTTCTCAGTCCCAACCTCCTTGTGTAAAATGGGAGTTGTGAACATTCCTGAAGAGGCAAATGACTACCGAGTGCCCAGTGGGTAATAAGCACTCAGTGTAAGGGAGTCATTAGAACATTACTTGCCTTAGCTCTTGGGCTGCCATATTGAAAGACCACAGACTGGGTGGCTTCGGCCAAGAAATCTATTTTCTCACAGCAAGTGGCTGGACTCATCTATTGCTATTGATTCATGATTGGAAGAAAGAATGAGATACCCATAGAGGGACCGTGAATGTGGGCACTAGCAATGTGAATCGATTCTGGGTAGATGCTTTCAGAGAGTTAAGGGTGGTCTTTCCTGTCTCTGCTTTCTTGTAATGCTGGCCACAGGGTTCCAGATCAAGTGCGCTAGCTTGGGTCCTGGAGCAAATAGATGTTGCTCAGAGTTCAGCTGACCCCACGGGACATGTGAAATGAGTGAGAAATAAGCTCTGTTGTTGTATTAAGCCACCAAGACACTGGGGTTGTTTGTTATTGCAACATCAGTTGGCCTATCCTGACTAATTCAGAGGTCTCTAAGGCAATAGATGACAGAGGGGGGTGTAGAACCAAATATCACTAATTGAAGTCTCAGATAGGAGAAGATCTTTGAACTCAAATATGCCTGGGTTTATAGTGTGGATTCACAATGGTTGTCTGGGTGGCCTTGGACAAGTCTCATAACTTCTCTGAGCTTTGTGTGCCCTTGCACAGTAATTTGACTTTCAGATTTTAAGATATTATCATACAGTACATAAGGCATAAGGCTTGGCACATCCTATTCTTTTGATAAATAGTAGTCACCTCCCATGTGGCTAATAATCAGGACAACTGTACTATTATTTATCTGCATTATAAAGGACAAGAAATTGAGGCTTAAGTTGAGAGGAAAGGTTATTTTGGCTCTCAGTTTCAGAGGTTTCAGTTCCTGATTGGCCCTTGGCTTTGGATGTTTTCGAGGCAGAACATCAAGGCACAGGAAG